TAATAAGTACTTACGATGCCCTATACGACATGCAGAGTCCAATAGAGACATGCAAAGCACCACAGAATAACATCATTGAGTCAATATAAGAGTAATAAACACATGTACACAATTGATAGATAATTTCGTTCGGCAATTTTTGGGCTCGAGAGGGAAAGGGATTCGCGCACGATTCCGTTGTTCTACTCTTTCTTGGAGCGAGTTCTGTCTACCTTGTTCTTTCCGCCGCTTTAGAGAATTATCACCGAACAGCCGATATCGTTCTTGGCTTATCCGAAGCAGACACAACCTTTCAACACGGTACTCGCCGCTGTAGCTGAGAAATATCGCGATCTTTATACAGTATTCTTTCTTTATCACTGCGAGCGTTTGTTACTTACAGTGGCATTCAAAAGTTTCTTAGATCGTTTTTGGAGTGTTTCTTCGATGGGATGAGTTGAAAGGAATTTCTGTTAACACGTTTATTGCTACAAAAACAGCATTTTACGTATCACTTACTCCTTTGCAAAGGTAAATAGGGATAATTATTAATTAACGCGTTGAATGCCGCGGGAGTCATTGGTGATCCAATTATTTGAAAACTTTTCTATATTATAAACAATGCTAGCTAATGCGGCGACATTCAACTAGATGAACCTGCAATAATAACAATGCAATTCAATCAAATGATTTAATATTGTATTTTTTCCCATTTCGAGTATTTTACTACAATTCTTACGTTACACTATTATCTAGTTATTCGTGTTATTGAATATTTTTATTAGACATCGGTTGTCTTAAATTACAATTGTTTTCAAGTCATATCGAAGTGATTTCACCAGTGACTACCTTGGTCAATGTGTTAATATAATAAATAAGGATATATTTATATGGATACTGCGAAAGAAACCGTACTATTTCATTTACATAGTTGTGTATTTAAAGAACAGTTAAATTGACGCGTTCCGAAGTTTATTATAATTATGTATTATTTCTTTCTATACAGATATGTGTAAAGAATAGGTAGTCACTTAAGGACAAAAAGTCTTTAAAGTCTTTACTGTACAAGAAGAGCTCGCAAAACGACCTGGCCGAGAACTTTTGAACGCCACTGTACATACAGGTGAGATATTTATGAATAGAAAGTTGAGAATTAATATTTATGATCCACTGAAACGAAATTAAGGCTAGATTAGAGTCAAATATGTTTTGGTCTAATAATATACAATATAAAAATAAGAATACGATTTAAAATTACTTCCTATTACAGAATTCTGCACGGACTCGCGATTTAATCGTAACAAACAACTGAATCAACTCCGCGAGGGCTCTCCGTGATTCAAACTGTTGAAGCACGCCGCGCGGAACTGAAGGCGTGATTATAAAGAGTAATGGATGTGAATGTCTAATGGCTCCATTTATCACGGGCTGGCTTCTGTCTTGGTCCTTCTGATTCGCTCGTCATTTCTTTCTTTGCCAGACGAAAGTGGAATCCCTGGTGGCGATAACAATCTACGTGATGTGGCAGCGACAGGGGTGTACGTACAAGGAAGTTTACCAAGCGTGATTGTAAAGAGGGAATACTGTATGTTACGATAATTGTACACTACGAAAATTAGTGGCACGAGTCTACATCGATGTCGTTATCGATACACGTCGCTGGAAATGTAAATGTTCTCGGTAATTCGGCATTTTTTCTGGAAAGTACTCTGGGAAAATGATGAAGTTAACCCATTTGCGTGACACAAATAAAAACGGGAAACGTATAGAAAATGAAAAATAACGCGGCGTAAACAAAGAATTCATTTAATTTTTTGGTATTACAGTACTCATATTACACTATTATCTAGCTTCTAGTATTACTAAATATTTCGATTCAATATCAATTTTCTTATTGTAATTGTTTTCAAGCAATTTGGAAGCTCCGGCCATCGTTGACCACCGTGGCAGTCAACGCGTTAATGAATATTGGAAAATCTTGACTAGTAAATCTTGACGGTAATGAACACAGTGTAACTCTTCGTGTCCTTGTTCACGTGCGCTCTAATTATAATGGCCAAAAGATGGCACCCGTACAACGGCACCCCTGACACGTACCACGAAGAATCCGCGCATACATGCGCTAATGATGCAAACAGGTTAACTGCTTAACTTCCCAAAAAGAAAGCAAACAAATTTCACACCAATAATCACCGTCAACTGCCACTTCCAAAAGATTCTTGGAAATCCATGAAGACTCGAACCAAACGTCTCGCGAGCAACATTCTTATATCAAAACGTACTCGACCTGTACGAATTTAAAAAGGTAGGTATTTACAACAAAGCCAAACAAGAAACATATACAATGGGTCCAAGGATCGTAAGATCGGCCACGACAGCGATAGAAGCATCTGTCGATACATATCGATTAATAAAAAGTACCGCCGTACTCGTATTACTTCGCGGGTTCGATTACGACCGGTGGTGCTTCGTACAAGACAAATCAAACGAGAAAGGTTGTTGAA